GCCTGCGCGGCCTGGCCCGGCCCCCCAGGACCCCGACACCGCCACTCCACCCCACAAATGCCAGAGAAGCTTGTCTCGGAAAGTTTGTGCGGAGCCTATGAGACCCGACCGACACTCCTCTGCTCCCCGCGGTCCCGGAGCAGTGTTCCTGAGGTCTCCTCCTGACCTCCAGTCCTTCCTATCCTCCCCCTTTACCCTGGATTGCACCTTTGCGGGTAGCTGATGGCAGGGCTACAGCTGGCGAAGTGGAATGTGTTATGAAGGGAACCTAGAAGGTGTCAGAGAGACCCTTGTTTTGCAAGTGGAGAATCACAAGGACCCTGTTTTTGTTCTTGTTTCTTCAGACCTACAGCAGAGGAGACTTCGATTTCATTGATTATTACTGTGTGTGAATCCTGGCGTCTAAAATACCGAGATTTATTTACAAGGCGTAATCCACAAAATACACTGTTTAAATTTTTATTTATTTTTTATTTTTTGGTACTGGGGATCGAACTCGGGTCCTTGCGCTTGCAAGGCAGGCCACCGAACCGCTGAGCTAAATCCCCAGCCCCACTGTTTAAATTTTTAAAAATTTATTACGGAAAAAGACACATTACTATGAATCCCCCTCAGAATCCTCCCCCTCTCTTAAAACACACAGTATGATTCTTGCCGCTTTCTGAAGCAGCTCTGGAGGTCCTCTTTCAAGAGTGCCTTTAGCTGTATTGTTGCGGCTGCCTCAATGTCCTGAATTGATTCCAAACGCTGACTTTTCATTGTCGCTTTGATTTTGGAGAAGCCAGAAATCACTGGTGTCAGATCTAGTGAATACGGCGGATGAGGGTACAGCCTCATATTTTTACTAGCCTGTCTTTCCGTTGGATGGCACTCGCAGCAGCATTCATTGTGTTTGGATCACACCTCGTAAAGACACTCATAAAAGAGGATTCCAAAACTGCTGCAGATGAGTGTGTTCAAAGAGAGGGGAAAGACTTTGAGTGGGATTAATGACAGTGTGTTTTTACTGTGATAATTTAATTTAGACATATACAGTATTTTTTTAAAATCAGCCCTGGTATTGTTTATTGCCAGCTCAGCTCCCAGCAAAGCACAACCCGCTGCACTTCTCTGTACTTCAAAATCATTCATTTATTAAATAATTGATCAGCGGCTGCGTGTTGGGTGCTGTTCTGATACTTGGGAGTCTCCATGCCTTGACAAAGCTGAGAGAGTGGTGTGTGGAGGGTGGCAGAAGGAAAGCCGTGAATGTCAACCCCTGAGCCCTCTGAGGTGTTAGAAGAGATCAGTGATGGGCGATGAGCAGAACAGAGAGGCCCAGGACAGACGTAGAATCCCCTAGCTGGGGGATGCAGTGGGGCTCACTGTGCAGGGGTTGTTTGAGCCAAGACTTGGGGGACCCTAGTAGGCCAATAGCCAAGCAGCTAGGGAGGAATAATTGGTTCTTATTTTGAGGCAATGCCAACAGAGCAGTTTCTAAAAGTTTGGATCTATGAGTAAAAAGGAGATGTGGACAGAGACCGACTGGGTCCTCCCTCTATTACCTTTCAGTCCCAGAAAGAAGCAGTTTTATAGATAGAATGAGACAGTTAAGCACCACCATAGGTACAGAAGACAAAGAAACCCCAGGCCTTAGGGTATTCAGGAAGGACTGACAAATAAGCATGGTCTTAAATCCTGCCTCTCCCACTTCCTTTCAAGACTGGGGCCACCAGCAAAAGAGTTAGGGCTTTTCAAGGTTTGTGGGGTCACTTGATAGCTTAGTGTCCCATTCCAGGCCCCCTAGAGTGGAGCCTAGAAGTCCCCATCACTGCTTGAACCAGCAGTCACCTTGGGTTCTCAGAACACATCACCTGATAACAAGCTCCTCCCCTGAGTGGGTGCAGTCATACCATGACAGTCACCAGTGATAAGGACTTCTCTGGGGCCACCTGGACAAACCGAACCCAGGTAATAATCAGCCAGGCCCTTGCCACCCCAGTAAACCATAGAAGTCTCGCCCCTTGCTGTGTTAATGGACCGGCCAGACTTCCTTTCCATCAGTCCTGACCCCTTCTCCACGTGGTAAACCCACCCCTCAAATGAAAGCTTTGCTGTGTTCTCAGTCTCTGTGGCCCAGTCTCATTCCTATTGCCACAAGGCCAGAAGGTCTCATTTCCAGGATCATTTTCCAGGTAAAAGCTGAAGTAGCTCGCCCTCTGCTCCTTCTAGTCCTTTTCCCCGCCTCTTCCACTCACTGTGTTTTTAAAAGCTTCGGCCGTGGACATTGCTTCCTGCATGGTCCCACAGATTCCATGTGGGGCCCATTTGGCCCTGTCTTCCCCTCACCCAAGAAACATTTTTTTACTATAGAAAAGGGCTGCCTGAGCCCCAACAGAAATAAAAATAACCCACCCCAAGGCAAGCCTCAATAGGGTGTCTCAGGATGGTTCTTCTGTGGAGCTGCAGACACAGAGTCAGCTCTGAGACACTTTCTTGGGGAGCAGGAGGTGCTTCTGTAAGATAAGTACACAGTAGGTGCCAACAGACCTCCTCCTGGCCTGTTCCATCTGCTTAGGAAAGATCTTTTCACAGGGAGAAGGTGGTGGGACCGCCACAGGTGGCCTTTGGATGGCTGTCACCTAGGCCTAAGAGACTTTGTTTACATAACAAGACCTTTGTCCAATACACTGGCCTTTTCTCACCTTCCCTAACTGCTTTATGGCCACCTAAAGCTGTGGCTTCTTTAAGCACCTCAAAATGCTGCTTAGACTTCAAGTGTGTGGCCCCTTCTTTGAGTCTCTTACTTTGGCTACAGCTCCCATATTTGTGTATATTCATAAACTTCTATACTTTATTTTTCCTACCTTTATTTCATAAAGTAAAATGGTTTGATTTCAGAGAGAAAATGGAACATTTAAAACACGCCCATGCTGCTCCGTGCCGGTCACTGTCAGAGGCAGAGGAACAGAGACGCAGTTCCCTGCCCTCTTGGAACTCATGTTCTAAGGAGGACAGAGACAATAAACCAGAAAAATAAGAAAGATGTGCTCCATGGGAGCCATAGAAAAAAACTAATCAGGAAAGAGGATAGGAGTGAGGGGGTGGGGGTGGGGGCACAATTTACCATGGGGACACTGATCAAAGCAAACCCCAGGGACAGTGAGCCAAGCAGATATCACTTCTAATGACCTTTCCCTCTTTAGTGGCCCAGCAGTGTTGGTGGCAGAGGTGTCCTGGCTCAGGGTTGGAAGCTTGGCAGTGATCCCCCTTCTGCTGTTCAACAGAGAGGTGGAGGTAGGGGATGTACCTGTAAAATGACTCAAGAGAGTGTTGTGATTCCAGGGTCTAAGCTTTAAAATAATAATAATAATACTTACTGTGATTATTTATTTGTCTGTCTTGTTACTGGAGTTTTAGGGTGCAAGTCCCAGCTGGGGGGGAAAGGGGCTTGGAACAGGACATTGTAGAGGCTGGCAGCTAATGTTCTTGCACATCCTGAAAACACCTTTGTTCCTCTTCTCCGTGTCTTGTCTTCAGTATTGAAGGAAGATGAGATAGGTTAGGTAAATTTAGGGTTAATAAAACCAGTTTTAAAATAGACATTCCTTAAGTGATTGCCATGCCTGTATGCAGAGCCAAACAGGATCTGACCCAAAGCTGTTAGTTAATAAAAGAGACAGGAAATGAAGACAGAGTGTTCGCTTCGGCAGTACATATATTAAAAATTGGAAAATGAAGACAGAGATGTCAATTTTTATCCTGCATTTGGTTACCGATTGGACATCTGCAGGTCTAGCCCCTGTCTCTGTTATAGTCTGCACTGGGATTGGGTGATATCACTTTGCTCAAACTCCACAGTATGCAGGGAGATAAAGATAATCAGGAGATTGTTACCTCTTCCCAAGTGCTAGGAACTGCCTAGGTTAGAACCACCTATCTCCCTCTCCAAAGATGTTTACTAAAAGGGGTTGGTTCTTAAAGGAACATTGAGAAGGATGCATCATGTTTTTACATGTATCTTTGTTTCAGAATCTAAAAGAACTGTTATCATCCCTGCAATATGGAGTTTTAACTTTTTAAGTTGCATACTTATGCACTATTTAAATGTTGTATTAAAATTTTGTGGATCAAAAAATTAATTTGATATGTAGATATTTATATATAGAACTAGAAGCATAAGTGCAAAATCAAACATATATAATTGCCTAAATTTTGATGTCCTCTTTGACTTTGATATTTCTGTTGCTATTCAAAGTACCTGAGATAATAAACTTAAGAAGAGGGGATTATTTTGGCTCATTGTTTTGGTTCATGGTCCTCTGAACTAATTGCTTCGGGCATGTGGAATGCAGAACGTCATGGAGGGAGTGGAGCATAGTGGTTCATGTCATGGCAGCCAAGAAGCAAAAAGTGAGGGAGGGGAGAGATCCCAGTAGCCCTCCAAGGCCTCACTTCCTCCAAGGCCATGCATCCAGGGACCTCACTTCTTCTTAGCAAGCCCACCTCCTAAAGGCTCCTCACTTCCAAGTAGCACCATAGACTGGTGACCGAGCCTCCCACACATGGGCCTTTGTGTGACACTGAAGATGTAAACTATGACAATATCCAAGCTTAGAGTTTGTTGTTGTTGTTAATTTTTTGTTATTGATTTGTAGGATTATTGCACTGTGGCCAAGAAATACAGAGGACCCTTGACTTACAGACTCAGTTTGGTAGTGAAGCCTGGTTGTAATGCAAGTTGAATGGAAGTCAAGTCTTTTTTCCCAAAAGATTTAAGGGAAGTACCCATAATGCATTCCAAACCTCCCAAATATCCCCTTAACTAACTTGTTCAT